GATGCTGAAAATTCAGCTTTGATCACAGAAATAAATTACATTTTAAAATATATTCAAATCGAAAGCAGTTATTCTAAATAGTACAAATATTTCACAATATTACTGCTCTTGCTGTACTTTGGATCAAATAAATGCAGGCTTGGTGAGCAGAAGAGACTTCTTTAAAAACATTACTGTTCAAAAACTTTTGACTGGTAGTGTATTTTTGTATGAAATATTGGTTTGTTAAATCTAGGGTAAGTCATTTTAAGATAAATAACATTCTGTGCTAACAAGCTGAAATGAGGTGGTTGTTTTCAACAAGGTGGACACAGTTCTGTTCATAACAGTATACCTGCTGGTGAAGAAGTGACGGGTAAGAAAAAAAGCGAGAGACACGAGATATTGGGGGAAATGAAGAAAAGGGAAAGGGAAGTGAAGGTGCAGTGCAAGAGAGAACCTTTCATTATTGTCCACGGCCCCAGACTAAGGATTTAGACCTTTTTATGTGATGGTCATACAAATAATACAGTTGTCTGTGGTTTCAGAAATTGTTGTGGATGTATCGGCTATATAAAAAGGGGCCACAATTGCACCTTTTGGGGTACAACAGCTTGTCAACGTAGCAGTACTCTTAAAAGGACATCTTTGTTCCTTTTTTTACCCCTAATAGGTAGGCCTACTAGTACCTTAAGGGTACGAATTACTACTCTAAGGTACTAATATGTACCTATTGGGGTAAAAAAAAAAGGTACAAAGATGTCCTTTTAAGAGTACTGCTAAGGTGACAAGCTGTTGTACCCCAAAAGGTACAATTTTGGTCCCTTTTTTTCTGTGTGGCCTGGATGAGTGTGAGATTTTCCAGCCTGAAATTGTGTCCCAGTCCGGCCCTGTATTGTAATGTTAGTTTATGGGGACTAAGTATAAAATTGATCCAAGTAATAAAGAAGTGAAAGCAAAATTAAAGATGCAAAACAAGGATTTGGTTATGCAGGAAATATGTTTTATTGATATTGCTGAATCACAGTAAGGATAAGGGTATTCAAGAACGCTGAATAGAGATATTCATGAAGGTTGAACAAGACATCATAGTTATATTAATAAAGCCATTAACACATCACAAATTTGACAGTTTTGTTAACTAGGTTTTTAACTCCGATACTGCCAGCAAGATGTCAGATGTCCTACCCCACTCCGGCCCTCTCTCTCTCTCTCTCTCTCTCTCTCTCTCTCTCTATATATATATATAGATATGAAGACTTCAGATGCAAAAGCCTCTAAGTGCCATCTGAAATTTTCTTCTAAAATTAATGCATTTTTATTTTTATCAGGTTTTATAGGTTTTCAGTTTAATGACAATAAACATCAACGTGCCATCAAAGTGAAATAACTGATATATATATACTAGATAGATAGATAGATAGATATAGATATATAATATTTTGCATATTACAAAACATTTATAACTTTTTATATATTTCTATTTGCAATTATGTTTCTTATAAGATTTTTATTAGTGGCTGTATAATGATATATTAATTAAATTCTTAAAATTATATTAATACATTTAGGTGTTTAATACTTCATGGTAGCATACGTTGATTTAAAAATTAAAACAAAAACAAAAACTTTATAAAATAATCTGAGAATTGAGATGTTTGAGGGAACATTTCCTTAATTCTCACTACCCCACTAATAAAATCTTTAATTATTGCTACATGTTTATAAGATAGATAGATCGCAGTCACCTTTCACAACATCAGTGACGCTACAGCTGGGGTCAATGCTGCCGATCTGTTTGGGATGAGCAGGATTGTCACGCACCTTTCCCCCAAACAGAAGAGCTGGAAACACACAGACATTATGTTAATGACATGTAATCCTCTCATTGGTGGTGGAACAACACAGCTCGATGTTTACTGGCTGACCGATCAATCCACGACAGATTCAGAAATCCAGGACACTGATGGCTGTGAAACGTGTAAACATGTCAGTCGGTGCTGCTAAACCTACAATACGAGTGAACATTCCAGAAGCCCTTTACATTTAAAGCAGACTTCACAGTTCTGCTGTCCATAAAGGGCCCCATTATAAAGCATCACAGAGCACTAGATGTGTGTGTGTGGGTCTCACTGTGCTGGTTCAGGAGCATTCTGATGGAGATCCTGCTCATGTAGAACCGGTCCAGGAAGTACTGGATGTTCTGGCTGGTGATGGGGTCGGTCCCGTAGGTCTCCTTATATTCCACCACTCCTTGAGCCATGGTGGGCACCACATCATTGTGCCGGTTTCTGATCTTAATCACCGCATCTGTGAAGCTACAACAACATGAGTGAGTGTGTGTGTGTGTGTGTGAGTGTGTGTGTGTGAGTGTGTGAGTGTGTGTGTGTTTGCACAGGTAGGGCTGGAAGGTAGAGGTCTTCACGGGTGCACATGGATCGAGACCCAAGTGCGTTTGGGTTCAAAACTTAATCGGGTGCTTCGGACAAGGGTCAGGTCTGATATTAGTAGCCTCGGGTTTGGGATCATTTTAAATAAATGCAGTTTTACCAAATAGACCTGAGAAGACCTGAATTATTTTAAAATATGCCAACATTTAATTTTTCATTTTGAGCAATATTTGATTATGTAAAACAAACACATCAATCATTTTTTATGATTTTTATCCCCCTTCTTCGGTGTCAATCCATGCTTCTATGTAAATGACCAAACCCTACAGTATACAGGTGCGTGCAACAGCACCATGATGACTAAAAACTAAATACATTTTTGGCATTAAATTACAGAAAACTAGTTAATGTTGTTGCATGAATGTTTCTAATACAGCGATGGCAAATTTGACAAGTTTTTTTCTTCTGACCAACATTTAATAAAATAAAAATGCCATTTTTTTTATTATACAAACATTTTTTTTAATATAATTTATGACATTTAATTTAAAGTTTTACTTTTACGTTTTTTTTTTTTTCTATGACACAGTTTGTAAATCTAGCAAAGTTTTTTATATTTTCATATTCAAAAATGTTATGTACATTTATAACTATACTTCGTGCATATTTGACATCTTTCTCTCTTCTTACCAACTTAATCAACCTCTCTATATATATACATTTTACATATTTATATCTATATTTGGAAAGTCACAGAAATTCTATCACTAAATGCTAATATAGCTATTGGGGCAAATATGAATGCAACAGTTATATTAGTTGTAGTAGAGTTCCCCACTATTGATGTTTAGCCAACTATGATGATTTCTGCTTCTGATAACCCTGGAAATTTGAAAAGGGTCCATCCTTAGGACCCAAGAAGACCTCTACTAGAAGGTGTTTGATGAATCTCTTACTCTTGTTTGAGCATTTCATCATCAACATCCCTGTCCTTGAACTCCAGTATATCCTGGAAGCTGTGCATGTACCTGCAGAGACGCAACACAACCACAGAACGCAGTTTAGACACGCACTCATATCAGAATAATAAGACTGCATGTGTGCACTGACACCGACCAGCTCTGCACCAGGCGCACTGAAGGAGTCCTCAGAAGATTATCAGGCAATAAATCGATTTCTTTCATAATATTTGCCAGCCTGACAGGCAGCTCCTGTCTTAGAAACGTGAATGACGTTTTCGCACATGCGTTCTCTGAACCTGCAGAGACAAGTGTACAGAGAGACAGAAAACACCACCATCAAGTCATGCTTGGGTGCACGCATTGATTCTATCCAGCTCACAACACATTATATCTTTAATTAGATTTTATTTAAATTTTCTGCTTTCACTAACTTTAGTGAGTAGGTTCTAGTAATTGTGTTGCCTATTTAGGTTTACTAGGTCTATTAAAAGAACATTAGATTTGTTTAAAATAGGAAATATCTAACATGGATATGGAAATCCAACATATGCACAATTACTGTTAATCACGTCAAACCCTATTATCACTGTAGTGCTATTTTGTAACATCCTACTCTATTCTAATCTATTCAATTCATCACGGTACTGCAAGGATTACATTTTAAAAATCCCAACTTTTGGATTGGACTTGTTTGATTCAATTCTACTCTACTTTAAGATTGGATCTCTTTGATTGTATTCTATAGCACTTACAGAAATACCATGCATATAATAATTCTGTGGCATGGTATTCTCATCTGACAATGTACAGCAGTTTTTGTTTGTTTACTCGGTAACACTTTACAATAAGGTTCCATTAGTTAATGTATTAACTAACATGAACAATTAACAATGCATGTATTACAGTATTTATTAAACGTTGTTAATGATAGTTAATGAAAATACAGCTTCCACTGTTAGTTCAACAGTGCATTAACAAGCACAGCTTGTAATTGTAATAATGCATTAGTAAATGTTGACAATAACATTAGATTAATAAATGCTTTAGAAGTATTGCTCATGAGTCATGTTTAGTTCATGTGAACTAAAGTAGTTAACTAATGAACCCTATTGTAAAGTGTTACCTTTGATTCTTTTCTGTTTAATTCTGTCCTCATATTGAATCGTGTGCATTTGATTCCGGACTCACCAAAGTCTATGAACTGTTTCATAGAGAGAGGAGAAGGAGAGAATCTGGAGTAAAAGTCGATTTGTTTGGCGACGGATGCAGCGTTCATCAAAGTCCTGAAGATCCTCATGTTGGCGGCTGTAACTCTTCAGAAAATCCAGAAAAATGTGTCCCGTGGGCTTTCGGAGCTCATATGCTTCTTGTCCAAAACACAGTCAGCAGAAAACCGCGCAGTTCTCTCTCGAAGTATGAAGTTGAATGTCGGTCATGATATCCAGTGCTGTCTGGAAAATGCAGTTTCACTCTTCTGTATCACCCAGTAATGACACTGCAATCATTATATGCATGATATCGCCCTAAACCTGCAGGTAATCGCGGAGTAATGCATGGCGGGTGTGAAGACCGATAACACTGCAGCATGTGTGTATGGGCTCGCGTGATAGGCAGCAGCATCAGTCAACACTGGGCCGCTCGCCGCATTAAACGCGCACAGCAGCACACTGTCCTTAAAAACCGCCTCTAAACAACAGCGGCTGAGCTCCGAGGACAGCAAAGGCTGAAAAAAGCCCTAATCTCTGACCTGTTTCCCTGCTTGCTTATCAAACCGTTCGCCAGGTTGCTGTAAACAAGTTAATGCTGCACGAACATATGTCAGGGACCAGCCACTCTTAGTTAGTTTTCTTCAGTGGGTTTATTGGCGGGTTGCAAACTAGCTTTTTAGATGCATACCGCCACCTGCTGGCATATTACACGTAATTCTGTATCATGTTTTGCTTTGAGATGAGGTGTATAATTAAGTTATGTATGACTCATCCATAATCTTGTTAAAATGATCTGCTCTTCTCTGCTAATGTTTTGTGAGCGTCCACTCTGTTTTACTTCCGCATTACGTGTGTCTTTGGGTCACGTGACTATATGGGGAGTCGCTGATTAGTTTCACCCCTGACTGTAGCAGGGATTATTATTCATCAGTTATCTTTTGAATCCGTTCACTAAAAACATCCTGTTTATTTTGTAAAGCTGTCAAGTGCCCCATCATCTAAACATGATGATATTTAAAGATATAATCACATTTTTTAATATGATAAAGAACAAGTGCAACTTGTGCATGAATGTTTTCACTTTGAAAACTGTAAGTGTGTGTTTAAAAGGCTTTTGATTCATTACTGATTTTTAGTATCTGTGAATCTGCACAAAATGGTGAGCGACAGTCACCAGTCACCAGTTTAGTGTTGGCAGCTCCTTAAAAAAACTCCAATGAGTTGGTTCTTCGTAGTGGATAAAAACTGCGGATTAGTAAAACTGTTCAGTAAAACACTCACTTTATAAGCCATATATCTTTTCTTCGCATGTCCAGCTAAACGTGAACCAAGAACTGTTATAGTACATATGTATCACTGTAACAGTGGTATTTTATAAGAATGAAATAATAAATGTATAATATAGGCCTATATAATTGTTGTGACAAGTCAGAAGCGTGTGGATCCATTTGCAGCTTTTATTAGAATAGTCAGACAATACAGGGTCAAATACCGGCAAGGCAGAACAGCAGAGACAAGGCAGAGACAGAATCGTGTACCAGACGAGAGATCGGGGCAGGCGGCTATCAAACAGAGTCCAGGTGAAACAATCCAAGTCGGGGCAGGCAGATAACAATCAGAGAATAAGGAAACAGTCCAAGATCAGATGCACAGAAAATCAAACACGGGTATAACGCTCGGAAATGACAGCCAGGGCAAATCAAGACTTCGCAGAGAGTCTGTGTGTGTGAGTGGCTTATATGTGTGTGTGTATATGATGCGCAGGTGTGGATGAGCAATCAGTCCCAGGTATGAGGGTTGATGGGATTTGGAGTCCGAATGGGAATGGCTAATATTCGGGAGACGGTTCCCTCTGGTGGTGCGGAGGAGGCGGTATGGGAGCCTCCTCTGTAACAATAATGTTGTTTAGTGTTTTTATCTACGAAATCCAATTGGATTGCTTTAACGCCACCTCTGAGAGTTGAGAAGTCAATAAAAAGTTTTTTGTGTTTTTTATTTTTTTGCTTTATTTGTTTCATCTTAGGTCAGACAGAAAATAAAAATAACGTAAATATGGTATAAATAATATAGATACACATATACATACAACATACAGCCATATATGAATTCAAATTAAGAAAAAAGATAACACCAGGCAAGCATAATTATACACCAAATAAATAACTAATAAACTAAATTAGGGGGGAAAAAATAAAAAAGTAAAATAAAAAAAAATAAAATGTAATTAATTAATAATAAAAAATTAAGATGTAGTTTTCTCCTTAAAATATTCCAGAAAAGGGCTCCAGACTTTCAGAAAAAGTTTTGGCTTTTGTTTTATTGCAAACCGAATCTTTTCCATCTTGAGAGCATGTAAGAAATCAAAAACCCATTGGCGATAAGGAACAAAATTAACTTTTTATATTTTTTTTGTTAAATTTGCCTCATATTTTTGATGAGTTACATCTGTTCTGTAGATTTTTTTTATATCCTTCCAAAAATAAATAAATAAAAATAAAGTACAAAAATAAACTTTCATAGCTCGTTAAGCAGCTGGAACCAGAAGAGTTAAATTCCTTAAGCTTCCCATTCTAGACACACCTATTTTGCACAAGTCTCCTCAACCAGGAAACTGTTTCATTTGTTCAGAGAAAGTGAAAGTTAAGTGCTGTTGAGCTGATGTTTGTTTCTCTGTCTGAATGTACATGCAGTGAAATGGCAGAAACCAGTTTTTCTCAGGATCAGTTCAGCTGTGCAGTGTGTCTGGATCTCCTGAAGGATCCAGTGGCCATTCCCTGTGGACACAGTTACTGTATGAGCTGTATTACAAGCTACTGGGATCAGGAGGATCAGAAGGGAGTCAACAGCTGCCCTCAATGCAGACAGACCTTCACTCCAAGACCTGCTTTAAATAAAAACACCATGCTGACTGAAGTGGTGGAGCAACTGAAGAAGACTAAACTCCAGGCTGCTGTTCCTGCTGGACCTGAAGATGTGGAGTGTGACGTCTGTACTGTGAGAAAAAATAAAGCTGTCAAGTCCTGTCTGGTGTGTCTGAACTCTTACTGTCAAAATCACCTCCAACAACATGAGAATCTCTTTAAAGGTAAGAGACACAATCTGACAGAAGCCATTGGACGACTTCAGGAGATGATCTGCCCAAAACATAATAAACAACTGGAAATCTATTGTCATACTGACCAGCAATGCATTTGTTATCTGTGCACAATGGATAATCACAAAAACCATGATACTGTAGCAGCTGTAGCAGAGAGGACAAAGAAACAGGTATGAACTGATAATGGATTTCTGTCTTTCTACAGTGTCTTAATGCACTAATTGGTAAGTTACTCTCAAGTTACTAACTTCTAAAGGTGCATAACTGTAATAGTAATAAAAATCTGTAAAATATAAAATGTTACATTTAGGCTACGGTTGTGAGACTGCATTTGAGTCCTTAATATGGTTTCATTCACACACAATATAGTTATTAACGGGAGTGACTCCTCCATAGTAGAAATCGCATTTGGGACCCTCTCCCTCGTTGAGGCCCTTGGAATTGTCCTAACCTTCCCCACCGTTATGGCTTCCCTGGTGTCATCTGAAGGTTTAGATCCAGTCACTTTTTTTCTCCACTGAGCTTCTCCGTCAGTTGGTGTATGCGTGACTCAAATGCTCTGCTCTCCACCCAAATATAAAAACTGCTGTCAGTTATTAAAGATTTGAAGAATGAACTCGCTGCTCGATTGGACTCTTGTTGTGTCAAAAAGTGAAAAGACTTTTCAGTTTTATGGACGTCGCCATCATTGATATTACTTTGGTTGCTGTCCCTATGGTTCTTTTTCTAACTTCGCTTGGTGTTTCACATTGAGAATCGCTTTGGGCGTGACAACTGCGGAAGCTCTTATGACACCACGTCTTTCTTTGACAGACAGATCGACCTGTGGTCTCACCTATATCAGTCAGGTCAACCCCTGCCAAAATCATTCACACTTTCTTCCCATGGGAGACTGCAGCAAGCTCTCTCAGCATATCCTGACTTTGCTGATTTCGCTGAACTGTTCAACAGGCAGACCATTGTAGCAAATTAGCTCAAAAGGGAAATATTTATGATTAATTATAACTGGTTATAATTAATAATGAATATTTAGATTAGATCTTAGAATTAACTGTAGCAGTAAGCAAAACACATATATACAGAATGAAGCAAAGTAAGGAAGAGAGAGAGAAGAGCAAAAGAATGGCAGTATTTCACATTAATTAACCACAACGAATGAGAATCATCAGAGAATCAAAAATCACCTTAAAAAGGGGCCCAAACTTAAACACGCATCTAAATAGTTGTAAACGGTTACTTGCATTGGCTTCGTTGCTGAACAAGAGTCCTGATGCGGTAGACACGGAGGTTCTTGATGAGTTCTTTAGGAGTGAGCTGAAACATCCTGTTTATTTTTTAAAGCTGTCAAGCGCCCCATCATCTAAACATGATGATATTTAAAGATATAATCACATTTTTGAATATAATAAAGAACAAGTGCATGAATGTTTTCACTTTGAAAACTGTAAGTGTGTGTTTAAAAGACTTTTGATGCATTACTGATTTTTAGTATCTGTGAATCTGCACAGTGTTGGGCTCTTAGGAGGCAGCTCCTTAAAAAAACTCCAATTAGTTGGTTCTTCGTAGTGGACAAAAAACTGTGGATTAGTAAAACTGTTCAGTAAAACACTCACTTTATAAGCCATATATATTTTCTTCTCATGTCCAGCTAGACGTGAACCAAGAACTGTTATAGTACATACGTATCACTGTTTAAGGGCCTACTCACTCAGGAGGAGGTTGCACCGGGGGACGAGGACGCAGAGTGTGATGCTAACTCTGACCTCCTTGATTTGGACATGGACGATGAAGAGGAGGAACACAATTACCTCTTCCCCGACCAACAGTCTAGACCACTTAGCATGAACGACTCGGCCTCTCAAGCAGACAGTAATCTGCACAAGGTGTGTAAACGAACCGCAGCAAAATTGAAGACGCCAAAGGAACTCAGAGGGACCTTTATGATGGGAAAAGGTTGCCGCCTGCTCAACCTGCAGCGAGACAATTACTGCCTGCCATGCTCCCTACCAAGGGCAACTACTGCCTGCCAAGCTCCCTACCAAGGGGTATTCCATGTTGGAGACTCAAGGGATGGGAGAGCTGGATTTGGCCAGACACTCAGCAGTAGAGTCTTCAGTGGCCTACCACCTCCATCCGAATCCACGCTCTATTTCTGCCTCCTCTCAGATTTCGCTGTAGAGTAAGATGTAACGGCGGACCGTGTCAATGTATCAGAGGATAGCTTGGCTATATCACCTGTCAGGCTTGGGCGACACGCAGAAATCGGAAGTAATGGATACTGCTTACGACCCTCCTAAGGGTCTGTTTGGTCCAGCCCTCGAAAAATGAAAGAAACCAGCACCCTCAGGAAACAGGAGGATTAAGCTTTTAACCTCAGTTTGCCACACAAGCAAGCATCATGACCACCCTCTCAACCGGCTCGACAGGGCATTGCAACAGCCGCGGCTGCAAGAGGGAGACCAGTGGGCGCTAGGGCTTTAAGACCTGCTCACAGCAGGCAGAAGGCTGGCCAGTAACTACGACCGGATGGCTCTGGACCTTGGCGAAAGCATTCATTTGTTGCTGCAGCAGCTTAAAACGGTCCACCCCACCCCAAGGAGAGGAAGAAGCAGCGTACATCCTGACACACAGATATTCCCTGGCCTTTCTCTCTCCGTCCACAAAGAGAAGAATGTGTGAACACAGCCCTCATTTTGATCATATATGCCTACATGAGCCATGCTTATTTTTTTCATAAATTTATTCACAGACTCATTTATTCATACTTTGTGTAAGTACAATGACATTTTAATTTTTTATTGCTTTATATGGTTTTCGTAGCACAAATTGATTTATTATATGAAAGTCCAAAAATGGCTGGGACGTCTTGGACGAAAAGACACCTTTTTCCACCTTTGACCACAAGATGTCATTAGTGTGCAACGTGTTGAAAAGCTTCGAGGACCGAACCATTTTAAGATACAGTTGAGGGGAAAGCCTCGATGCTTTGCAAAGCTTCATTTCACCATCACTACTCTTGAGCTCCATAGCTTCCTATTTATAAGGGCTTGCTCCACTCTCGGCCTTTACCAAATGAACAAGCAGGGACAAAATATACAATTCATTATACACAAAAATATAAAAATAATGAAACATTGAACATACACAATTATCAATCTATGTTAACCCGTGTGTACTTAATCACAATAAATTACAAAAAATTACAGATGGACTGTTTGGTAGTGCGTCATGAGACTAGAAGCCCAACAGCCAAAATGTTTGGGAGTTTCTCACAAGTAATAAAGGCAATTCTGCCTAAAATTACACTGAGTTGACATTATTTTTAGAGGAATAACTGAAAATAACAAAATATTTGAGCAAACAGAAAAAACAAGCATAATAGCTAATTCATTTGGAATAGGCAAAACAACTACACAACACCATGCTGATTTATAAGATGGTAAATGCCGGCTTAATCAGGTAGTGATGTGTGTATATGTGTCAAATCCATGTAATCTCTTATTCGTCACCAAGCTTAGTTTGTGACAATGATACTTGCAATATCTTGCTTCCCCCACTCCTGAAGATCTATGAGTGGCTTCTCCCTCATAGTAGATGAAGCAGATGAAGACACCAGCACCATTCAGCCATCATGTTGCTGCTATCCCCACCCATCACAGGAACCCTCTCTAGTCTGTCCCCACTCAGAGCCAGAGCCCACCGCAGACCCTGAGCCAATGCCAACCACAGTCTGCCGTCATGTCTATCCTGGAGCTTGAGCCTGCCGCCAACTCTGACCAGGTGTATGAGCTTGTCCCCATGTCTGTTCCAGTGAGTATTTTAGTGAAGCTGGACTGTTCAGAGTGGGGTCCCCCCATCCTCCAGGCTCTGAGATCTGTTTTCTCCTGTCTGGATTACTTGACTCCATGATTTGCTCCTGTTCCTTCCAGCTTCCAAGTGTCCTCATCACTGCCTGTCCTGCCAGGACTCCTTCGTCTCCGCTAGTCCCGCCCAGATTCCCACTCCCTCCAGTTTACCAGTGTCTGCTCCTCCTCCTCTGGTGGTTCTGCCAAGCTATCCTGCTCCAATCCCCAGCTTCTCCTAGGTGCATTGATCCCCTGGCTCCACCTTACTAACTATTTACCATTTATTTATCTCTAGCGTTATCTCCAGCATCTCTATATAAGTACTCCCTAGTGTTACCTCCTCGTCTTGTCTGCTCCCTTGTGTTGTGTGCTTTTCTGTTTACCTGAAAAGGCATGCATAATAAGGAGGATGTGACATGTGACCAAGTATAGTGATCCATACTCGGAAATTGTGCTCTGCATTTCACCCATCCAAGTGCACACACACAGGAGTGAGTAGTGAACAAACACACACACATCGTGAACACACACCCGGAGCAGTGGGCAGCCATTTTTGCTGCGGTGCCCAGGGAGCAGTTGGGGGTTCAGTGCCTTGCTCAAGGGTCTCAACTCAGTCGTGGTATTGAAGGTGGAATAGGGCGCTGTACATTCACTCCCCACTCTCTAACCATTAGGCCACAACTTCCCGTAGTAAATATTACTGCCCTAATAGCACTGTGATCACATTGTTGATTCTCACCTGTCATCTTCATTCCTCTGTTCAATAAATATCTGCATTTGGGTTCATAACATCTTTTTTCCTGTGTCTGGTGTACCATGACACAGTGTTTCGCAACTTCAGTCCTGTGGACCCACCTCCCAGAAAGTTTTAGATGTATTGTTAATTAAAGTGCCTGATTGTACTCATTAGCTTGTTGGTATGTTAAACAGGGAAACATATAAAGCATTATGGGTGGTGCACCCCAAGGACTGGAGTTGAGAAACACATGCTAGATGGTGCAGAACACAGAAATATACCCAGGCCTTTATTGTTGTCGATCCCAGTAGTACGGTGATGTTGCGGTCCCCTAAAGGGTTCGCTGGGATTATGAACTTTGTCCTCTCAAGGTTGAGCTGAAGATGACGTTCCTTCATTCAGGCCAAGATATTGGACAGGCAAATGGACATACAAGCTGCATAGCAGTGATCGCAGAAGCCATACTGCATGCCTTTCGGATAGTGCCCGGTGATGTTGTGTAAATGGAGAAAAACAGAGGATCAAGCAGTGAACCATGAGGTTCCCCAGTGATTAGCTGATGAAAGTCAGACACACCTCTAGTTTCAGCTACAGACAAAATGACAGTCTCTGTGCAATGTCTGCTTTTGAAACCAGATTGTGATATTTCTGAAGTTTACACTAATATTTGATTTTCATACAGGTGGTTTTGGAAGAGAGAAAGAGAAAATTCCAGCAGAGAATCCAGCAGAGGCAGAAAGATCTTGAGGAGCTGAGAGAGGCTGTGGAGTCTCATGAGGTGAGTTGGAGAAGAAGAAATATCTAAGACTCAGTTTGGACTCTCTTCCAGTGTTTGAGCTTTTTCAGTCCCAATGAAGCCCACTGTGGTTCACAGGCTGTGTGAGACATCAGTACGAGCTGATTGTGATGTGTGTTTAACAGCGCTCTGCACAGACAGCAGTAGAGGACAGTGAGAGGATCTTTACTGAGCTCATCCGCTCCATTGAGAGAAGCCGCTCTGAGTTGACACAGCGGATCAGAGAACGGGAAAAGGCTGCAGTTAGTCGAGCTGAAGGACTCATTGAGCAACTGGAGCAGGAGATTGATGATCTGAGGAGGAAAGACGTTGAGCTGGAGAAGCTTTCGCAAACAGATGATCACATCCATTTCCTCCAGGTAACAGATCTGAAACACAGATGGGTATAGCAAGGTCTTGATGTTTTTCATTTTCGTTTTAACTTAAATTTGATTGGTGGTGTTTGCTAAGGCACACATCACTATTACTATTGCTCAAAATTATGGTTATTAAATTGAACAAACCCTTTACTTCAAGTAATAAACTTAACTTGTCTCTCACATTTGCGACAGACATAAATCATGTGGCTTATTGAGGACAAGTGTGCTGTTATTTTTCTTAGCCATCACAATTTTTGCTTGATGGATAAAACAGATGAAGAAAATCTCATAGACCAGATGAGATGTTGTGTATATTGAACTGGTTTTCACATTCTGGCCTCCACCTCCTCAGTTAAAAAGTGGTGCAAGACTCCAGATTGCTAAAGAACTTACATTAACTGTCAGGTGCGCATAGACCACACCCTACTCAGCTATATCCAGTCCAATACATCCACCTAATGGCGAAATTGAAACTTTGACCCTACCTGAAGTGCCTAATCCCTTACAATATTCAGGAAATGGCTTAAGCATCTTTTCCATAACTGTATACGGATGCAGAACTATTCTAGACAATGTTTATAGCTTTGTATGGTTAGCACTTCACAGTTTATTACCTTCTTAAAATAAATCTCTTTCTTGTAATGCTCATTTGTAAGTCACTTTGGATTAAAATTGTCTACTAATTGAATGAATGTAAATGTACAATTGCAAATTAAACACAGATACTATCAAAGTGGTAGGTTAGGTCATTACAGACCCAAATCTTAAGATAATTTGAATGAAAAAGCAGAGTAAATATGTGATTGTAGTGCAGATGAATGTTATAAAGTGTTTTTTGTTTATTTAAAAAAAAAAAAATTGTATCTTTATTTTTTGTGTTTATCTCTTCCTGTAGAATTTCCAGTCTCTTGCTATACCTCCTGAATCTACAGATATACCTGATGTCACTGTCAGCTCTCTCCTCTCTTTTGATGATGTGAGAAAGTCTGTCTCTCAACTGAAAGAAAAACTGCAGGATTTCTGTAGAGAGGAAATAGACAAGATTTCTGGCAAAGGTAAAAAAGCAGACATTAACTCTTAGAAATGAGTCTTGCAACATATAGAAGAATCTCAAATAATATATTAATATATTATTGTGTGTATAAATATTGTGTGTCTTTTTCCTTAGCAACATACATTGAAATTATTCCCACCAATGAACCCAAGATCAGAGAGGAGTTCTTGCAATGTAAGACATGAAACACACACACACACACACACACACACACACGCACTGCCATAAAGCATGAAAATGCTTAAAATAGATCAGTAATCACCCTGATTTTTACCATCAGTTAAAATACATTATTGTAGAACAATAAGAGAAAATAAATAAACTCTAAACTAGACTTCAACAAATAAAACTTTACCAGACCATAAGTGCAGGTTTGAGAAGGTTTGACTTTTAAAAGACTTCTCATAAACAGAGCAGATGTAAAATGTTGTGAATATAGAGTCTGTCACGTGTATGTTCCCGTTTAGTTCCTGTTGTCCTTATTTGGTCCTTCCTTTTCCTGTCCCCATTTAGTTCTATTAGTTCCAGGTGTTTCTCATTAGTAGTTATCCTCCTCACCTGTCTGCCCCTCGTTATCTGCCCTATTTGAGTTCTCGCCCGTTCTGGTCTCCTTTGTCTGGAATTGTTCATGTTAACCCTTGCTACGTGTGTTTTCCTGGTTCCCTGGATGTTATTAAAGTCAATTGGTTTGAATTCAACTCTGCATCTCCTTGCTCCGTGCTCCTCACAGTAGCAAACCGTAACAGAGTCATTCATCTTTAATGAAATGAAGTTCTAACCCTATTAATCTAAATAGTCCACATATACAGTAAGTTATGTATATAAACTACATTCTAAGATTAAAAAAACAAACATATATTTAGTTTTGAAATTCTGAATTTGCCTAAACTGACAGACTAAAGACAAAACAAAGCCTGTATATAAGTCTTATATCAAATGATGACATTAAATAAATATTAAACAAAACTGTAATTTACCAAACTGTACAGGTTACAGGAAATAGTGCGGTAAGATCACATTTGTTTGAATGAATGAATTACAACATTTATTTGAATTAATTATCGATCCTCCACTGTGACAAATGCACATCCTAAGAGACTCACTGTACACTCAAATACAGCTAATTATTCCTGAGTTCTAAATAACTCCATGAAAATGACAAATTAAGAATATTAGCCTACTTGGTGAAGGACCTTCCTCTTTAGTAGCACATCATATTTATAAATGCCACAAACTAATGCCGAGTTCACACTGCATGATTTTCAAACTCGTCGGATCACCGTTGTTTTCACACTGTGTGACTATCTGGGGTAGCATTCAGTTGCTGCTGTGTTCACATTGCACGATGGATCGGCGACAGGGGGCGCAAGGTAACGTCCCAAACGCAATACATTCCTAACGTTTGTTGAGTGACTTCACTTAGAGTGAGATAACTAACGCATCAAGGTGAGTTTTCTGCTCTAAGTTTTCAATTTATTTTCCACGTTTTCAGGGTGCTCACCACGCACCAAAAAGAAGGAAAAGGAGAGCTCTCTATTGCAGCACAGCTCCGTACTAGTTGTCACGTTGTGGTGGGCTTACCATACGAAGAGAGTGCAGGCTCAATGGCCACTGCAAAAGAGCCGGAGAGCCCCGGAGGAAAAGGGTGTTCCTTCCTATCCGTGTGCTTGTGGAATGTGGATTTCTGCGAAGGATTCACACAACCTCTGCATCTCCTGTTTGGGCAGTAAACACGCTCAGGCAGCTCTGTCAAACCCAGAGGGCTGTCCTCACTGCGCGACGTTCTCGGTTAAAACCCGAGAGCGGAGACTCCGCGTGGCAGTAGCTGGGAAGTCGGACCCATGCCTCTCTGCTCAACCCAGAGAGGAACTGATGGATTGTCCACAGGCCGTCAGCTTGTGGGGAGAGATGATGGAGAGGGTGTCACCTGTCCTTCCCCCGCTGTTTGAAGATCCGTTAGTGGGAGAGGAAGATGACGATGATGACGAAGTATTGTCGACCATCCTCGAGGACGAGGATGACGATACTATTCTTCCCCCGAATCAGTTGCGTCCGCCGAGTGCACAGAATGAGAGTTCACCCTCCCCTGTACAGATAGACACGGAACTACTCGAGGTCTGTCGCAGGGCCGCGGCTAGACTGTCGATCGACTGGCCAGCCTAACCGACAGGTCAAGGGGCTGAAAGAGACCTGTATGATGGAAAGAGACTTCCGTCACGTCTCCCTCCAGTGAGGCAGTTTATTCCAGCCATCCCGGCCTGTGTGGCTGAAATGAAGAGGTTTTGGGACAGGCCTTTTTCCCACCTGTCAAGGGCTTCTCGAGGCTGGATGTTCAGGGAATGGAGGATTTGGGGATGGCGGATCCTCCCCCTGTAGAATCATCTGTGGCGAATCATTTGCACCCAAGTCGCAGGGCAGCGCTCTCTTTAACCGGAGCCTAGCTACCAGGAAAACAGAGTGCTTCGCCGCCTCTGTTTTTCAAAAGATCTATAAATCATCTGCACTGGCCGTTTGTGCTTTGAACGGACGTCCCTCCTTACAGCCTATCAAGCGGAGTTATTAGAGGAGATGGGGCATCAGCTGAACTCCGGATCTCCCAACCCAGCGCTCAGGGAGGAGATATGCGTCATCGCAGATTTAAACCTGCGCACGTCCCGTGGAGCACTTCAAAGTTGCGGTCGGAGTATGGGCTTAGCGGTTGTGGGAGAGAGACTGCTATGGCTGGGTTTGTCAGGCCTCTCTGACAAAGAGAAAGTGGAGTTTTTGGATGCCCCTATTGATCCAAAGGCCATGCTTGGCGCGAAGGTAACAGCGATGCGTCAGCAATGTGACCTGCGGAAAAAAGACAGAGGCATTCGAGGTCTGTCAACCCAGAAATCCGGCAGCTCGGTCTTATCACCCAAGCCGACCGAATTTCAGACCTTCAGGGAGAAGGGGACATTCTGACTATCAACCTTCCCATCCTGCTCCACCACAACAGCCGGGAAACGCGGGCCCTCAGTCAAAGCCCAGTTTCGTGAAACTGAAACAGTCTTTCGCAGTCGCAGCAGCGAAACACCGGTCGGCCACCCCTCAGGGGAACAAAAAGAGGTGGTCGACCTGAGACGTCAGTTTGGCATCAGGAAGGGTTTGGAGGCAGCACTCAGGGTTTCTCTGTCCCATCCCTTCAAAATGATTCCTTTCTCCCTCCCGCAGGTAAAAGAAGAAGGAATTTAAATGTGAAATGGGTTTGTGTGGACAGTTCAAAGTCCAATGTGCGCGGGAAAATGGCCCATGTTCCTGTTCCATGTTTGTTCTGAGGGAGGAAGGACAAAAGTTCATAAGCATCCCATCACAAATAAAGTTTTCTCTGACGCATCCAGGCCAGGGGCTGAAGGCGCAGAGTGGAGCTGTAAAACCTCCTGTGTTCAATGGAGTGGTAATTTCAGTGGCCCAAGGGGAAGCAGCTCAGGTTTTAGAGGAAGAAATATCCTCTTTAATGAGAAAAGGGGTGATAAGAGTGATTCCAACGAAAGAAAGCCACATAGGCTTCTTCTACTCCCATTATTTTGTGATTCCCAAAAGAGGGGGAGGTCTCCGTCCCATTTTGGATTTACGGGTCCTCAACAAACACCTCAGAAAATACAAATTCAAAATGCTTTCGCTCAGAACTTTGTGTCAAAGTATTCGTCAGGGAGATTGGTTCACCTCAGTGGACCTCCAGGACGCATATTTTCACATAGATATTTTTCCTGCTCACAGGAAATATCTGAGGTTCGCTTATCAGGGCACAGCATACGAGTATACGAAAATCCCCTTTGGACTTAGCCAAAGCTTAGCTCCCAGGGTTTTCAGCAAATGTGTGGAAGTGGCTCTGACGCCGTTAAGGAACGGAGGGGTCAGAGTTTCATCATATCTGGACGATCTGCTCATCTGCGTGCCATCCCCGCGGCAAGCAGAGAGCGATATGTACACACTAGTGATGCATCTGGAGAGATTAGGTTTCAAGATAAACCAGACGAAGAGTTGGCTAACTCCTTCACAGGAAATAGTCTACTTGGGTCTCAGGTTGAATTCAGTGATGTTTCGAGCTTTCCTATCAGAGGAACGCATCAAGACATTTCACAGCTGCCTCTCCCTTTTTCAGTGAGGTAGATCAGTCTCTTTCAGAATGTGTCTTCGGCTACTGGGTCTGATGGCCTCAACAGTGTCAGTGGTTCCCCTGGGACTGCTGCGAATGAGGGATTTTCAGAACTGGACAGCGTCACAGGGCATTCGCCCCAAGAGCTGTCTCAGCCGCAGAGTGCGCATCTCACCAGAATGCATGAGCGCTCTTCTTCATTGGAGAGCCCCGTCTTTTCTCAGGACAGGATGCCCTCTGGGTCCGGTTATGTTAAGGAAAGTGGTGACGACAGATGCATCTCTCACTGGCTGGGGGGTGGTGTTCGAGGGCAGAACAGTGAGAGGAGTTTGGTCTCCTGCACTGAGAGAGAAGCACATACATTTTCTAGAACTACTGACAGTGACAGTGTGGGTTGCGGAGATTGCGCAACTGCTCAACGACCAGCCATGGCCGTTACCAGCATGCAGGGATCTCCTCTCACAAGCACGGGGGAAATATTTCACCCCTCCCCTCAAAAACTAGCTCTCTGGGCCTGGCCCGTGAGAGGCTAAATCTGAATGCAGCTGGGTTACCTCCGAAAGTGATAGAGACAATTCAGAACGCGAGAGCTGCCTCGAAACGTTCTTTATATAATCTCAAATGGAGGGTGTTTGAGGGATGGTGCACAGATAGAAACATTGTTCCTTTCTTGTGTTCAGTTTCGGATGTGCTGCCCTCGCACAAGCACGGGGCAAATATCTCACCCCTCCCCTCAAAAACTAGCTCTCTGGGCCTGGCCCGTGAGAGGCTAAATCTGAATGCAGCTGGGTTACCTCCGAAAGTGATAGAGACAATTCAGAACGCGAGAGCTGCCTCGAAACGTTCTTTATATAATCTCAAATGGAGGGTGTTTGAGGGATGGTGCTCAAAAGCCCCTTTCGAGCCCATTGATAACATTGCCTTGAAGCTGCTCGCTTTTAAGACAGCTCTGTTACTTGCTCTCGCTACAGCAAAAAGGGTGAGTGAACTACATGCTTTATCAGTTCACTCCTCATGTATGATGTTCGCTCTGCGTGGTCAAAAAGTAACTTTTAGAACTAACCCAGCATTTGTGCCTAAAGTGTTTGATCACGCTGGTGAAGTTCAATCAGTGAACGTGCTAGCTTTTCATCCACCACCTTTTTCATCCCCAGAGGAGGAGAGGTTACACAGTTTATGTCCGGTTCATACTCTGTATACATATGTTCAGAGAACCCGCACACTTCGTAAGAGCAATCAGCTATTTGTCTCATGGGCTGACTCTTACAAAGGAAAACGTTGTAATCTCCTGTCAACGCCTTTCTCACATAATCGTGTTAAGTTACAATAATGCGAATATAGAGCCCCCAATAGGACTACGGCACACTCTACTAGAGGTATGGCTACATCCTGGGCTCTGTTTAGAGGCATTTCTATTCAAGAAATTTGTGCGGCAGCCAACTGGTCTTTTCCGCACACATTTGCTAATTTCTATAGACTGGATGTGACAGAACCCTCTCTGGCTTACTCAGTCCTGGGAGTTTTCACCTCCGTCGGGAGTTATGATTCAGATAATAACCCACTCATTCTTTAGTCTGCTTCATCAGCATATCGGCAATATGGGAGATGTCTATATCCCATAGTGAGATACCGAACGAATGTTAGAAAGAGAACGTTAGGTTACTGACATAACCCCAGTTCTCTGATAACATGAAGTGAGGCATCTCACAAACATTGCCCTCCTTGCCTGTCCTGCACGGAGAAGAGATATGCGGAGAATGACGAAACGGCAGGTAGCTGTGGTTTATATACAGGGAGGCGGGACTCCCTGATCGGTGCAGCGATTGGTCTGCCATGGTTGGCTGACGTGGTGTTATTGGTGCTTCCGCGATCGGTCACGCCTGAGGCTTTCCCATAGTGAGATACCTCACTTCATGTTATCAGAGAACCGGGGTTACGTCAGTAACCTAATGTTTTTGAGGAAAACATTCCAGGATTTTTCTCCATATAATGGACTTCAATGGAGATCAACGGGCTGAAGGTCCAAAATGCAGTTTCAATGCAGCTTAAAAGGGCTCTACACGATCCCAGCCAAGGAATAAGGGTCTTATCTAGCGAAACTATCTGTTATTTTCTAAAAAAATAAAATAAAATAGATACTTTTAACTAGGGCTGTAACTAGCGATTATTTTGGTAATCGAGTAGGTCAATTATTCTGATGATTAATCAAGTAATTGATAATTATAAGACATTTTTTTGTGGTAATAAAAATAGACCTAAGCGAACAATAGCCTTTAAAATTACTTAAAGGGGTCCTATTATGCTCTTTTACAAAGTCTTGATTTTGTTTTGGGGGTGTACTAGAACATGCTCTCATGCTTGGTGGTTCGAAAAACGCATTATTTTTCACATAATTTACATTATTAAAATACCTTTCTCCCCATCCTGGCACAAACGGCTCGATTAGTTCCGGCTTTGATGAACTTCTTCATCGTCTCGTCTGATGCACTCAACCAAGCGTTCTAACCACAACCTCGCCC